GAAGGCGTGATAGGAGGATATATGAAATGTGAATAGGCCAGGGCAGAAAGGGAGATACCATAACTGTTTAGCACACGCTTGGTCAAAAAATCGGCTTCACTTGTCTCTTTTGGCGAGTTGTAATATGGTGCTACGAATGGCAAAACCGAATGACGATGCCGGCGAAACGCCTGAAAATGTACCACGTCCACGGTCCGACTTTGGAAGTGATCATGCATACAATGGACTCCGGACAAGGTGCGTTCCTCTAAGTCTTCCTATTAACATGACCAAGTTGCGAAAAGAAGGTCAAACAACTTATATACAACGAAAAAGAGACTAGGACCACACAAAAGGCTAAACCATCTTGGTCTTCATACCTTCGATTAAAATTATTCTAAAATGCACGTTTTGTGGGGGAGTAATATGAAGGATAATTCTTGTGGCAATATAGAAATAAAATCAGTAGTAAGACCGCAAGACTACAATGGTTTATTAATAGTATAATAGTGTGAAAATTATAATTTATCCTTGTTTATATAATATTTATAATACATCTCATAAATCCAATTTACTGTTAATCTCGACACCCTACTTATAAACTAAGAATAAGTAACGTAGTACATTGTTATAGCATATTGACAATCCCACCGAAGAATGTGATACGAGGAAATGCCTGGCCTTCATTGGAATTCAAGGTGCCCTGTAGCACGAGGGCACCCGTGGCAATGTGGCGTGATGGTTAACACGTCGAGATTACACGCTGCACTGCATCGCTGAGGATGTTTATAAGACCAATGCGAGGTAAAAACTGCAGTCTATCCTGAAGGAGAATACCTTTGGTAGGCAAATATATTTGAAATTCAATGGAACTGTAAGGTATACTCATATCAGTGTGGGAAAATTCAGCTACTAGTCCTTCATCACCTTGAAAGAAATAGGGTGAATACATCTGTTATATCTGATTTACAGATAGACTCGAAACCCCACTTTTAAACGAAAAATAATTTATATAACTTTTAGAGATTGGAGATTGAGCTGTTGAAATTCAAAGATATTTTATGACGTTTAGAATAGTGGTTTCAATTTATATATCTGAACTATAAATATGATGCTGATAGTGCACGTCGATTTTAACTAATAAAACTTTAAAAACTAAATAATCTCAATACGGTAACCAAGGGAATATAAACATATACTTATAAATACCAGACCACATTGATCTGTTTAAATAATTTAATTACGTACTTTTAAATGTTAGGATGAGATGCACATAACACAAAATTGTCTAAAACGAAAAAAGCAAGAAGTCTGCGTAGATTATCAACTCACTTTCACTTGCCAATTCTTCCCAGTGTTTAAAGCGTTATTGTCTGAAATACTCGACTCATTCACTTTTCCGGGCAAACGAATCAGCACTGGAAGCGCGTAAGCTAAACTAGCGACGCCTAAAAGAATGGAAGCGATCATTCGTGCTCCCGCGGGAAGCCAACCGACTAGAGTGGTCAGGAAGCTATCAGCTGCCGCGCCGGCTTCAATTCGCTGGAAATCATGATCAAGCGTTATTAAGGCAGGAGAAAAACCAGTAAGGGATAGCAAAGCAAGAGCAATCGAGGCAAAGCAGAGACCCAGCCGACTGAGCTGATCGTATAAATTTGGAAGCCAGGTAAAATAAAATCTGCTAGAGATGGAAGAGGAATGTCCAATCAAGCGGAGATGAATTCCGGCGCATAGCAAGCTCCTTAAGGAGGTACGTGTCCGCAGCCAGCGAGGATAGGCTAAACTTTTATTGTAGAGGAATACGCAGGCAATTGACAGATGACAGCAAGCGATGCTGAAAACGGAAAGAGTAACCAGAACCCCGGACGCAAGACCAGAAGAAGCTAGGAATGCGATAACGCCCTTATTTAGGGAAGATAAAGAGACACTGTAATAGTACAAAATAAATTTAATAAATAGAAGAATAGGCAATAACTAAAATTTATTTTAAATTTAGGATCAAAAGGGACTCAATATAAAATTCCTGTCGGATTATGCCTACTTATAGGCTCCATAAATTATAATTTGAAAGCACTTCCCCCAGTATTAATTATAATTAAAACAGATTTATTGGGTTCGAGGAATATTGCATTGCATAAAATGGCGACCCAATGAAATGTAATAACAAATAAAAACAACAATTAACATGAAATAAGGGTTTCTTTGAAAGAGTCTACGTGCTTATTTGTTTTTAAGATCTGATTATAATCAAGTACGGAAAAAAATAATTGGGGAATGGAGTGTCTGCGTTGACCAGCAAATTATGAAAAAATCCCAAACAAATAAAAAACGCTAACTTATTCACAGGGGTTTCTGATATTAATTCGAGAACACGGTCCGATTGGCGTGAGAAGACAGTTTAAGAAATAAAGTAAAAATAAATTCAAAGGTAATACATGTTTTTAATTTTGTCGTGGATGGTCCAACTCATATTCATGTAAAGGAGAGTCTCGAAATTATCAGT